TATATATATATATATATATTATTCTCCCACCAACGCACTATATTTTATTTAAATGCGAATTTTGGACGGTCCATACTATACTCGTGACACATATAGCATTAACACTTTCTGAAGTTAACATGCAACGATATGGATGGACACCGTCCATTAATGCATGATGTGATTAACTTATAACGAAAGCTATAAATTTAGTTGCAACTGGGACGTGTAAATTATTAGAGAAATTTGAGTAGATAATGTTATTGGAGATTTATGATTATATATATAACAGATCAGATCAATATTTATATATACATATAAATATATAATGGTAAAAAAAAACCATAATCTCGTAATCTAAATATCTGAAAGATAAAATAAAATCGAATTTAAATAGTAGAGAATATCATGATATAATCTTTTGGAAATCTTCTCTATAAGTACGGTTCAGGCATCCTTCAATCTCAAGGTGAGAATAAAAAGGACTGGTGGAGACTTGCCATTTCACTTATGTTGACATCATCATCATCATCATCATCATCACATCCACCACCATCGCCATCTATCCTCATATTATTGTTTTTCTATCTTGAATTTGATTTAGATTTTTTTAAGCAAAATCTTTTTTTTTTGGTTAAAATTTTAAGCAAAATCTTACAAAATGTAACGATAATTTTATCGATTTTTTTCTATATCTCTTATAGAAAATTCGTCTAAACAATTTTTTTTTTTTAAAAAAGTGCGTCTAAGAAAATAAACCGATATTTTCATTACATCGATGTAATAACATAGTTCTTGACGTGGGAATTAGAATCTAAGGACACCGAGAAGAAAAACGATAGAAAGAGCACTTACATTAACCCATAAAAATGTGAAAGAGAGAGACAGAGAGAGAGGGTGTCAATTAAATTAAGGAGTTCTTTTGAAGATCTTCTGTCCCGGTGAAAGGATAGCCCTCGGATCGAACCTCGATTTCCTATCGACAAATCTCGACCATCGGTTCCCGAAATGTCGAAACCAATCCTCTTGCGACTTGTAATGAGGAAGATACAGTTTGAAATCGATTCCATTGCTTACACACCAGTGGACGATTTCACGGTTCTGAATCACCGATTTCTCGACCAAATAAGGTTTCCGGTGGGGCGGAACAAAACGGAGCAAAGCTACGATGTAGAATATATCCCCTTCTTCCGGTAACACCACCGATGTCCGATTATCCCACCTGAAAAAAACATAAGAGCCGAGGTTTGAAAAATTAGGTATGGACTACAAGGGCAAATTGGTCAATGATTAATTGAATATCAATATCAATTTCATAATAAGATGTACCAAAAAATTAGACATTTTGCCGTTTATGAAACGACGACTAGATTGAATATCAAGTGTTTTATTTCATTTTTTTTACTTCCACCAAATCAAAATTTCGTTTTCCACAAAAAGTAAATTCTTTTAATGCCGAAACTGCCCTGAGCCCTCTCTGCCGGGTTACATGACGTGAACTGGCCACCGAGTGGCAATGATATTTTCTTTTAGTTTCATAACAAAAAAGTTACAATAAAAAAAAAACAAAAAAGAGCGATAAAAAGGTTTAAAAAAAGAGAGGAAATTAACGTTAGAACTTAAATGGGTCCCTCACCGTATCTTTGTCCCCACGAGATTTAGTGAGATCTTATGCTAACCTCACCCACGGTTACACCAATTCTCCGTCACCAACACCGACTAATACGACACCGTATTACCTCATCACCTACATATTTTTTTTTTGTTTTCTCTAATTATAGGAACACACCCTCAGCTACCAAACAAAAAATATCCTAACGGCATCATAATTCAATTGTATTCGGTCTAATTTAATTCAAATCACGAAAGGGACACGTGCATAACAGGATCACCCGCCCCAAACAGCACGTGAGAAACACGTGCGGTGACCCACGAAGAGACCCACCCCCATCTCAAAAGCGTTATAAATGACGAAAATCCAGGGGAAATAATCACCTGGATCGCAGCATAGGGTAAACAAGCATGGGACCACCCACGCCGTCGCTCACAAGCTCCTTGAACACCGTCCGATCGAACTTGGAGATGTCGCGTTTCGAGACGAAGAGGTTCAGCCACGGGTGCGGAGCCTCGTCCCACGTCCCCTTCGCCTTGGCCGCCGCCTCCGACCGGTTCACTCGCAGGATGAATTCCACGTACGTGACGTCGATCTCGAACCGTAATCCCTCGATAAATCCTAGCCGTCCAATCAACCTCTCCGCCCGCTGAGATTCGGGAAAAAAAAAAGATTTAACGATCCGAAGTTAGACAGGGACAGGGGTATTATGGTAATTTGGTTAGGGTCACGGCTTCCAGAATCATGCAGATTCCCGAAAATGATGGCGTGATTCGGCCGCTCGTAGAGAGAGAGCG